TGTGTGAAAGGAACTATTATGTGCATTAATAATTTATATATTTTAACTCTAGCTTTATGTTTAAAATATAACTAAATAAAATAATATTTATAAAATAAAACAGTTTTACTATTGAATTAAAATACTTAAAAAAAACTTATGGAAGTTAATAAAACCAATCTAGTTTATTTTTCACTAAATTAAAAATCAATTACAAACATTTTGTTGCTAGATGTAAAAAAATGCAGTCTTTATGTTTTTAAATGAATGTACTGCTAATAAGTAATACTTATAAACATATAATACTTATAAACATATAAGCGTTATCTGACTAACATCTGACTAACATCCAGCAGCTAAATATGTCTGGTAAAATATTCAAAGGCTTTTATTTTCATAAACCGCGCCGACGTGAATGCGTCTGATTGTTCTGATTGGCTAAAGCAGACGTCTCACGTCAGAACGTTCCAGACATGCACGCGCTCTTTCGGGCAATCTTCCTTCTGCATTACCACAGCGCAGCATTCTGGCAAAATACCGGTAATATTACAACTTCTCTTTCCGGAAAATAGCCAGAACGAATTTACCGGTATTTTCAAAAAGGGCCTGTTCAAACATACAAACCAAAGGTCTGTATGTGTGAAAGGGGCTATTGTCTTGTTGGAAGGTAAGCCTTCGACCCAGTCTGAGATCCTGAGCACTCTGGAGAAGGTTTTCGTCCAGGACAGTCCTGTACTTGGCCTGTACTATTCATCTTTCCCTCAATTGCAGCTAGTCGTCCAGTCCCTGTAGCTGAAAAACACCCCCACAGCATGATGCTGCCACCACCATGCTTCACTATTGGGACTGTATTAATCAGCAAGTGATAACAAGTGCCTGGTTTTCTTCACACATACAGCTTAGAATTAAGGCCAAAAAGTTCCATCTTGGTCTCATCAGACCAGAGAATCTTATTTCTCACCATCTATAAGCCTTCAGGTATTTCACACAGGTGAAAACACCCTGCAGGCTTTCATGTGTCGGGCCACTCTGCCATAAAGCCTCGACTAGTGGAGGGCTGCAGTGATGGTTGACTTTCTACAACATTCTTCTATCTCCCGACTGCATCTCTGGAGCTTGACCACAGTGAACTCTCACAGAGGCTCTTTTCCCCTGATAGCTCAGTTTGGACAGATGTCTAAACGTCTTCCATTTAAAGATTATGGAGGCCATTGTGTTCTTAGGAAACTTAAGTGCAGCAGAATATGTTTGTAACCTTGTCCAGATCTGTGCCTTGCCACAAATCAGTCTCTGAGCTCTTCATGTAGTTCCTTTGACCTCATGATTCTCATTTGTCAGACATGCATTGAGCTGTAAGGTCTTATATAAACAGGTATGTGGCTTTCCTAATCAAGTCCAATCAGTCTAATCAAACACAGCTGGACTCAAGTGAAAGTGTCGAACCATCTTAAAGCTGCGGTCACACTGCACTTTTCTCCCCATAGACTTCCATTCATTCGCAACCGAAAACATAAGGTCATGCGGCAAGTTTCGCAGACCAAACATGAACCAATCGCTTGCTTCTTTAAATGTCTAATTATCTTGTTTAATTCCGCCCCTTTTTACAGAGCCATACAGGAGAATTTCATAAGCTTAAACTCTAGTGTTACAGCGGCATAAGGATGATCAGAAGAAATGGACAGCACCTGAGTTAAAAATAAGAATGTCACACAAATAGGATCTGAATACTTAGAAAAATGTGTTTTTTCAGTTTTTCTTTTTAAATAAACTGCAAAAATGTCAACAGTTCTGTATTTATCTGTCAATATGGGGTGCTGTGTGTACATTAATGAAGAGGAAAATGAACTGAAATGATTTTAGCAAATGGCTGCATTATAAAAAATAAATAAATAAATAAAATCAAAAATTAAAAAAATTAAAAATCAAAAATTAAAAAATGTAAAAAAAAATTAAAGGTAAAAAATTGAAGGGGGTCTGAACACTTTCCGTACTCACTGTATGTAAATAAGGGCTGACCAGTAGCTTTTTTAGGCTATCCTAAAAACAACTTTATAAAAAAAAAGCTAACATATACCATAGGAACAGTATATCAGAAAATTTCTGCAGTTTTAAAACCATGACTTTTTTTAAAACCATGGTAAACCTTGAAACTAATTATGGTCCCATGCCTACACCAGAGAATCAGAAACCAGAGTTCAAGCCGACCTCATCAGAGGACATGATATTAGGATGAACTTTTAGACCGGAATTCTGCATGAACCATCAGGTCCAACACTATCAATCTCTAACTTCAGCATCGGAGAGTGCAAAGGCAATAAAGATTCCAGCCTTAACAGACCCCAGAACAGCTGCTTCAAGACTAAGAAAAAGAGTGTGCGGTGCTGCCATGCCTGGAGTGTAAAAGTGAAACCGGGTCATGCAACTTAATGCGGGTAACAGGGTGTTCAGGTAACAGAGCCAGCGAGAAAGAGCTCATCAATAAAGCATGCTCTGGAGGGACAGCAGGGAACTCTAACTCTGTTTGTGTTCCTCAAGACGGCGACATGGGGTTCGCCCCGTCCACAGATGAGGAGACAACCTTTCTTCAAAAGATGTTTTCAGGCGAGACAATATAGCAAGAAAGACCTGTTAGATGCACCTGTTAACTTTGACATTTTCAGCTTATTGGCTTTTTATTTTTTAGGAAATTTTTTGTAATGTTTTTCTTACACTGTCAAAAAGATCTGTTCAATTCATATTTTTAATATGAAGCTGTACAATATTATGTTTGTACATATACATTAGATTAGTCAGTACTGAAGCCAAATCTGGAGGTTATCTGACAGAATAATTTACGATAACGGTCCAAAAACAAGTACAGCTAAATGTAAAGAAAAATGTTAAATACTAATAAAAAAAGTGGGAAAAAAAACAAGTCGAAAAATTTGGTTGAAATTTTGTAGGTTGTCATTTTTTTCTGCAATATTTTGCTTGAATTTAATCGTATTATCTTTCAATTTCTAAACTTGTTTGGTGACTAAATATTATTTTAATAAATATATCTGTTTAATAAATCTGTTTTGTTTAAATGCACCAAAATGCATAGCCTATATTTACTGAAAAATGGACAAACATATTCATTTTCAAAATGAGGTGTACTCAATTATGCTAAGCACTCACACTATGCTAGCCGAACTGTGCCCAGGCCCGTTTCCCAGTTCGTTTGAGAAGTGCGAGTGCTCTGAATTGGGCTCAGGCGCGGTTCAGTTAGGCTTTGGCATGGTACACTTATAGTGTAAGTGCAAGCGCGCCTGAGTCTGAAACTGAAGATGAGACGTGACTTTTAAGTTACTGTTTGATATGGAGTTATTAATCATTCTTACAGTTCAATGAACACAAACTGTCGTAGATTATTAAAGATGCAAACCCCTAGCAGCACATCAGCTGCACCTTTAGCAAACCTCCTAATTTCTGCAGAAGGAGGACTTTATGATTATTTATGAGCGTCAAAAGTGGCTTGTCTATTCTGCAAAATATTTGACTGCGTGTCACTGCATCCCAAACAACTAAAACGATATAACTATAGAGATCTCCTCTGTGCTGAGCGAGAGCGCTTCTTATTGAACAGCGCATCATCGATGAAGTAAGCGTGCTCAGGAGCGAATGCAATGTGAAGAATAAATAGAAGAATAAATAATAGTTTAAACATGAAAAACAATTACTTAAAATCAAAATAGTATTTTAAGACATTTTATTTGCCCAAATAGGTGCAGACTTAGTTTTTCCAAACGTTAACAGTTAAGGTTCAACTACGGTAAAATAAATAAAAAATAAAATAAATAACATGCGTCACTTTTTTTAAGATAAGATTTTTATTATGCAATTCCTAATGCAAGCAAATCAACCAGGAAAGTACAGTGATAACTATCTATTTTTTTTCCCCATTTTGACCTGAAATCTCGCCTTAATATTTTAAAGGATCAACATCAACAAATTAACATTAAGCTATTATCGCCAACACTATGCAAATGTATCCAATAGTTCACACTTTAGTTCAGTAAATAGAGAAATAAACTCACCTGAGCTAGAAACTCACCGTTTATGTTAGAAATGTACATACATTAGCACAAATTTATTAAAACGTTGTCTCATATGCATATTTAAATTTCAGAAAGCTAGTCAAATAAGACTTTTTACATGCAATTCCTAATGTAAGTAAATCAACCAGGAAAGTACAGTAATAACTATGTATTTTTTTTAACCCTATTGACCTGAAGTCTTGCCTTAATATTTACAGTAAATGATCATCCTCAACAAGTTAACATCAAGCTAGAACCTCCAACATGCAGTTTTATTTAATTGTTCTTACTGTAGTTCAGTTAATAGAGAAATAAACTCACCTGAGCTAGAAACTCACCTTTTATACTAGAAATGTACATACATTAGCACATATTTAATAAAACATTGTCTCATTTGCATATTTTGCATATTTAAATTTTGGAAAACTAGTCAGTCAAATAAGATGTTTTAATGCAATTCCTAATGCAAGCAAATCAACTCAGGAAAGTATGGTGATAACCATGTATTTTTAACACTTCTAACTTGAAATCTTGCCTTAATATTTTAAAGGATCATCATGAACAAATTAACATCAAGCTAAAACCTCCAAAACTGCGCAAATGTATCCAATAGCTCACACTTTAGTTCAGTAGAGAAATAAACTCAACAGAGCTAGAAACTCACCTTTTATGTTAGAAATGTACATACATTAGCACAAATTTACTAAAACCTTGTCTCGTTTGCATATTTAAATTTCAGAGAACTAGTCAAATAAGATTTTTTAATGCAATTCCTAACGAAAGCAAATCACCAAGAAAGTATGGTGGTAACTATCAATTTTCTAACCATTTTGACCTGAAATCTTGCCTTGATATTTTAAATGATCATCATCAACAAGTTAACATCAAGCTAGAACCTCCAACACCAAGCAATTTTATCCAATTGGTCTCATTTTAGTTCAGTTAGTAGAGAAATACACTCACCTGAGCTGCATGAAAGCACGTGCGTGTTCAGGTTTTGCTCTGCTCTGATCACGCTGTTCTTTTGCACTTTGGACGCTTCACTCTATGAACAAACACACACATGACACTGACTTTCACGCACTGTGTTCTTTAAATAAAAATTAATTTACCATCATTCCCGTTAACATGCAGCTTTAACCACTAGCATCTCAGAGACCGTCGTACCTGCTCGATGCTCCACGCAGGTCTGAAAAAAACAACAGCAGAAAGAGTGAAGAGTCAATCAAAATTCATCTTAAGAAGCTGCAGTATCCTTATTTTTGTTTTTTTCTGGACGACGTGCATAAAAGGGGACGCAAATCTAAGGTCGCTGCGCTCTGAGGGAATCTAATATTAGCACGGCACATTTCCCATACTGAAACTCTAGCGCTTGTCTCGAATTGCTGAAAGCACAGCAACGGCACATATGCTTAAACCATTACAGGACTCCCAACTGCAGAAATGAGACACAGACGAGGCTAAATTTAGGAGGGGAAAGGGAGAAGCTCAGGTGTGGCTGTGGGTGAAAGTGTCTGCTGCCCGGAGGAACAGGACAGAAAGGCACAGCTTTTGGTGCGGATTCAAATTGTTTAGTGGCTCGAAAGGTTAAACATTTACTTGTACTCCATTTACAGTGCAACAATTGTCTTTATTTATTTATTTTTTCATGGAGATGAAGCTCTATGGGACACCTGGGTTGAGGCAATGCATGTTATAAAAGAGGATATGAATATTTAGGAAAACCTTTGGGTGAAGTGAAGTAAACTTTCAGAAAGAAAACAAGTGCTATAATTACATGATTATTAAAATAATGTTGATCTAATTTTGGTGGCTGAAGAATAATGCGGCATACAATAATACATATAATAAATATAAAAAAATGCTAAACAATTGCTGTCTGTACTACTGTAGTATGCACATTATAAAATCCATAAACAACCAAACTAACAAACAAATAAATAAATATGCTATTAAACTGCTTTCTGTGTATAATCAATATGAAAAAAAAATTATAAAATAAAACAGGCTGAACTACAGCAGAATGAATAAAAATAACAATATAAATAATAAAATAATAATATTATATTTAATTAAACGTATAAAAAATAAACATGCAAATACAAAATAAAAAAACGGTGCGAACAAAACAAAACATGGCGTTAACCTGCCCTGTCTATGCAAATTATAAAAAGGATTAAACAAAATAAAACTGTCTGAACTACCACTGAATGAATAATATTATAAATTAAATGTAATAAAAATAAGCATGCACATAAAATAGGAAGAAATAGTGTGTACAAAACAAAAATAAAAAATGGTATTAACCGACTCTGTGTATAAAAGTTATTAAAAAAAATCTTTTAAATAAATAAACTGTCTGAATTACCACAGAATGAATAATATTTTAAATAACAACACTACTAATACTACAAATAATAATAATAAATTAAATGTCACACAAATAAAAATGCAAATAAAACAATAAAAAAAAAATAGTGTGAACAAAACAAAACATGGTGCTAGCCTGCTTTGTGTGTATTAAAATTATGAAACATTCATTCATTCATTTTCTTTTTGGTTTAGTCCCTTTATAAAATCCAGGGTCACCACAGCGGAATAAACCGGCAACTTATCCAGCACGTTTTTTTACAGCGGATGCCCTTCCAGCCACAACCCATCTCTGGGAAACATCCACACACACTCATTCACACACATACACTACGGACAATTTAGCTTATTCAATTAAATGATGAAACAAATAAAATTAAATTAAACTATCTGAACTACCACATAATTAATAATAATAATAATAATAATAACAATAATAATATAATACAATATTATAATATAATAATAAAATGTAATGAGCTGAGTATAAAATTTCTGTAAAACTTTAATATAATAAAAACTGAACTACCACAGAATAAATATTATTATAACTAATAATATTAATAATAATAATGCTAATAAAATACTAAAAAATAGTGTGAACAAAACAAAACAATGTCGTTAACCTGCTCTGTGTATAATTTTATGAAAAATTTAATTAAATAAAACTGTCTAACCTAACACAGAATAAATATTATAAACAACAACAATAATAATAATAATAATAAAAATAATAATAATAATAATAAATTCAATGTAATAAAAATAAACTTGCAAATAGAACAAAAAAACGGTGTGAACAAAAAACAAAACATGGCATTACCCTGCTCTGTATGTATAAATGATGAAAAAAATTCTATTAAATAAAACTGTCTGAACTACCATAGAATGAATAATATTATAAACAACAACAATAATAATAATACATTTAATTAAATGTAGTTAAAATAAAACTGCAAATAGGAAACAAAAGTGTGAACAAAACAACACAAGGTGTTAACCTGCTCTGTTTGTATACAAATTATAAAAACAAATTAAATAAAACTGTCTGAACTACCATATAATTAATAATATTACAAATAATAATAATAATAATAAAAATAATAATAGTTATTATTAATACGTAATAAAATAAACATGCAAATAAAATAATAAGAAATGTCAACAAAAAAATTGCATTAACCTGCTCTCTCTCCATATATTAAGAAAGAATTTAATTAAATAAAACTGTCTGAACTACCACTGAACAAATAGTATTAGTAATAATAATAATAATAATAATAATAATAATAATAATAATAATAATAATAAAATTTAATAAAATAAACATGCAAATAAAATAATAAAACATGTTCACCTAATTTGTGTGCATTAAATGATAGAATACATTTAAAAACAATTGTCTGGATAAACTAGTGTAGCATGCAAAAATAAATAAGTAAAGTAAAGGGAAAGTAGATAAAAATAAAGCACAGTTGGCCTGATCTGTGTGTCAGCTGTGATGTAGCATGCGTGTTCACTGCACTCACTGTCTGTGTGTTCTGCAGATGTGTCTCAGTTTCTCCAGATGTTCAGCATCCGGATTACGGTCTCGCTCTCCTCCACCATCCTGACACCGGCCAACCAAACCCAACCTCTTCTCTATACACAAAAGGCAAAAACATCTTCAAACATCCTGTCAGGGCAAAAAAAAACAAAAAAACAAAACCTTCTCTTAACATTAATGAGAATCCACTGACCCCACTGCATCTGCAGAGCACTGAGGTTGAAGAGCAGACGCTCATGATAGAGTCTCTCCAGCTGAATGAAGCGCACCGCTCTCTCATCTGGAAAACACTTTAGTTAAGGCAAATCTACAGGAAGAGGGAAATCCCAAAGCAGCAGTGCACTTTACCACACTGAAAGCAGAGACAGATTGAATGAAATACTATCATATACACAGCAATAATCTAAATATCGGCACCTATGGTAAATATGAGCAAAGAATGATGAGGGAAAAAAAGTCATTTTTGTTTGTGTTGATTAAGTACATTTGAATAATTCTGCAGCTGTGATGTTTTGGCCACTTGAACCATCATCCTGACAAATAAACACCCAACTGCAAAGTCCAATTCCAGACTGTTTCATAACACTTACAGTTGACTGAGGTGTTTTTTATTTTCACGGTAGTTATAAAACAAATTGCAATTTTCAGTGTTTTTGCTTTTCTATTATTAATTCCTTTCATTATTATAAAATTCTACACTTTTTTCCCCCCAAAATTGTTTTACCCATTGTTATGAATGACTAAGTGAGTTTTATCTAAAATATAATTTATTCAGTGAAATGCTCAAACAACTACTCATGACCTTGAAATAGTAAAACAGCAAAATAAAATAATAATAACAATATAATCTAGATAATGGAGAAATAACGTTATGGAATAAAAAATAAAAGCAAATATAAACTATGTAAAAACTCGCATGTAAAGTCCTGTGATACAAAAGATCCTGGTTAAACAAAGTCCTGTTTCTAACCACCTAGATGCATCAGAAAAATGTAAATATCAATGGGAAGTGGAATTCATCAGGCATATGATTAACCAAGGACGAAAAAAAAGGAGGAAGACGAGTATGGCTGTATTTCACAAGGGTTCTGACACATCAACGCGAAGCAGAAGTCAAACTTAATGAAACATTTAAGGGCACATGCTGAAAGGCAGAGGAATGCGCTGTCTTTGACAGCTCGCGACTTTATCTGGCACTTTCACTGATACATTTTCATACACATCACTACTCCGATTTTAATATGATTAAGACAATACTCTTATTAAGAGTCTATACCATGTAAAAATGGATTTTTGATAACCATAAAGTTAAATAAAATAAATAAAATAAGTAAGTTCTCAAGTAAGTTCTCTCAGCACGTTTATTAAATATCTGCAAACATATGGTATTTTTTATGCTCTAGAAGAGTGTTTCTTAACCATGTTCCCAGAGGACCACCAGCTTTGCAAATTTTCCATGTCTCCTTAACCAAACACACTCGATTCAGATCCTCAGACTGAAAGACCTGTTATGGGTGTGACAGACAAAGAAGACATCTAAAACATGCAGTGTTGGTAGTGAACACTGCTTTAGAAAAGTCAAAAACTAGGATATAGCACCTTTAAAGCATATTAGCGGATATCCTAATAAGATAACAACTGTCTAGAGTAATGCATTGAATACATACATCTATATCTATAAACTATTCAAATATCCATGAGCCTGTTACAATAACAAAAGCAATGGGGTATTAAATGGAAATTGATAACATCAATAAAACAGCAAATTTGGTTTGAACACACTATTTCACAGCCACTGTGTATTAATATAATAATTAAGGATACAGTCCTCCGCATGCATAAAGGCCTCTGCTATCTGTAAAAGAACAACAAAGTTTAGCCTGGAGTTATTATGAATTGAATTAGACAATAAATAGCATCATTAGGTTACACTGGATAACAATTGTTACATTGTTATGTTATACATTGGAGGTCAGGTCATTGAAGTATATTAAAAAATGTTGATTCATATAAATCTATATGAACTACTAATATTTATAGGATTACTGATGATAACTGATAATAATCATTGCTAATAACTTAATGACAGTTATTGTTATAATGTGTACCCCCAATAATATGCAGATGTTAATGTAAAATGTTAAACAAAAAAGTAAAAAAAAAAAGTCATGATCTTTGTGGATAAAGTGGAATAAAACAAAACATAACATAGAACATAACACAAAACAAAACAACAAAACAAAACACAAAAACAAAACAAAACTAAGCATAAAATAAAACAAAACATTAAACAAAGCAAAACATAATACAAACATCAAACAAACTAAAATGTAATCCAAAGTATAACAAAACATAACAAAACCAAAAATAAAATAACAAAAAACAAAACATGACACAAAACAAAACAAACAGAAAACAACAAAAAATAACACAACATAAAAAAATAAAACAACAACAAAACAAACAACATAGCATATCACAAAACACAACACAAAACATTAAACAAAACATAAACAAAAAACACATTAAACAAAACAAACAATATAAAAAACAAAACAAACAACACTAAACATAACATAACACAAAAAACACAAAACATAAAACTAAAAATAAAAAACAAACAACAAAACAAACATAACAAAACAAAAAATAAACAAAAACAAACAAACACAACAAAAACAACAACAAAACAAACAACAAAACTAAACAGCATAATACAAAACACAACACAAAACATAAACACAAACAAAAACAAAACACAAAACATAAACAAAACAAAAAATAAACAACAAAGCATAAGCATAACACAACAACAACAAAAATAAATAAATAAATAAATAAATAAATAACTAAATAAATAAATAACTAAATAAATAAACCAAAACATAAGACAAACAAAACACTGTAGACTAAGCAGTATAAAATCAAATTAAACAAAATCTAAAAGAAATGAAATAAAAACAAAACAGTGATGACATGACCTGCGTGGTCATAAAAATAACATCAGATGAACCACATCCATTCATTCATCCTTATATGTATAACATTTTTGTTCCATTTAAAACATCTTAAATGAACAAAAGTGATATAAATGAGAGAGGTTTGTCTTGTAACCTCATATAACCCTCACTTCAGGATGATATAAAACCTGCTGAGCCAGTGATGTTCTTGTAAAACCTGTAGACTATAAGGTCAGGCTTTAACAGAGCTTGACCATGCAATATGCTGGTCATCGTGCTTTCTATTAGATCTTTAATGTGCTGCTGCTATCAGTCAATATTATCGCCAAAGACAAAGGCAACAACATGCTAACATGAGCTTATTGTTGAACAGCGTGGTGGCGTACAGGCCAACACATCTCATGTTCTGCTTCAGTCACATCAGTGAGGAGTGGTGCACCACCTACTGGAAGTAGACAACCTCACAAGGGTCCACCATCACAGCAAAAACGACACTTTTCAGCAATTTACATGATTCAGCAAGTCTTTAGATGTTGGGTATCATTTTGCAAACAAGTTTTTGTTAAGTCAAAGCTGGCATGATGGAATAAACAATACTAAGTGCAAAAAATGCAAGTTTAATATTGAACAAAAATGTTTAACAGTTTTTTATTTAATTATATTAATGCTTTTAATGGTTGTTTCATTATCATATTTATTATATGCATTATGTTGGGCAACACAGTGGCTTAATGGTCAGTACTGTCAGCTCACACCAAGAAGGACGCTGGTTTAAGGCCCGGTTGGGTCAGTTGGCATATCTGTGTGGAGTTTGCATGTTTTTCCATGTTGGCATGGGTTACCTCTGGGTGCTCCAGTTTGAGTAAGGTGAAGCTGCAGGCCCGTAGACCCAACTGCACGCTCAGACCTGCACTTTCAGACCTATGGTTTTCTCAGACAGTGCCACCTGCTGTTGGGTTGGTGAATCGGCAGGTACGGAGACCCAACCTCACGCTCAGACCAGCCCTCTCTAGCAAGTAGCAACATCAGACACGCGAGTAAGGTTATTGATTTCATTAAAGCGATTCCTGAAAATGACCAGGTTTTATGGCATAAATCAATGTGATGTAAAATATTACACTAACAAACAATTATTTCAGTGTTTGATTTGATCAAAATTAGTGTCAAAACAGCATTATTTTATGATATTTACAGCTTGCTCTTATTCATTCATTCATTTTCTTTTTAGCTTAGTCCCTTTATTAATCCAGGGTCACCACAGTGGAATAACCGCCAACTTATCCAGCACGTTTTTTTACCCAGCGGATTGCCTTTCAGCCACAACCCATCTCTGGGAAACATCCATGCACATTCATTCACACTCATACACTACAGACAATTAATCCAACCCAGTTCACCTGTACCGCATGTCTTTGGACTGTGGGAGAGCACCTGGAGGAAAACCCACACGAATGCAGGGAGAACATGCAAACTCCATACAGAAATGCCAACCGGCCCAGCCGAGGCTCGAACCAGCGACCTTCTTGCTGTGAGGCGACAGCACTACCTACTGTGCCACTGCATCGCCCTCAGCTTGCTCTTATTTTCAAGTGGTGCTCACTGCAGAGCCATTTGGGCGAGCTGAGCTCCAAAGGCTGCATACATTTCCACTGATTTTTGCTCGAGAAATGAAAAATCTCCCCAACAGGAATGTAAAGCATTCATTTTATTTAATGTTATTTTCTACATAAAAATATTATCCCGTTTTTTTTTCCACCATTTTTCTCTGCATTGTTTACAGCTTAATGACTTGTAGGACCTTATGGAAAAGTACACAAAAATAAAGTTTGTTGTGAGAAAATACACTCTCGCATCGTACTATCATTTACTGTATGTAAAGAAACTTATTGTATATGAAGATAATCATCATTCCCTCAACTCAATACTAAACAGTGATAAATCCTTAACATCTTAAGGCCCGAGGTGTTTTTTACATGGATTTTTTTTATTTCTCTTTGCTATTTGGGCTTATTGGAACCTACTTAGAATAAAAACCTAAGTATCATCTTTTAATATGATGTACTTTTAGAAAGAAATCGTGGTCCGAATTTACATAAAACACTTTTTTTCCTGTGATGCATATTTAACAGATTTTTTTTTTTAAACGTTTCGACTATCAGAGAGCAAAAACAACATTTTGTGCCCATTTTGGACAGTTAAAATAGTGTTTGGGACATTTCATATGCTGCAAAACAGTTGCAGAATGACACTGTATATGTCTGTAACAAAATATACAACATTTAAAGTATCTTAAATAACCACTGAAGAGCTAAAATGTGCTGTCTATGTATGAGGCCACTAAGCCCTAAGAGGTTAAAGATTAAAAAAACAAACAATAAATGACTGAAAATAGTGAAGTAACTGAACAATAACTATTTACAAATAAAATGAATAAAAATACAACAGAAATAATGCTTTAACTCAAAATCTAGTATGTTTAATATTCATAATAATGTATTCAATCATAGCGTAACATTTTAAAGTAAAAAAATAGTTTAAGTTAAATTTTATAAGCAGCTGAATTCAGGTTAGTCGATATTTTAAACAGCAGGTGGCACTGTCTGAGAAATCGATAGGTCTGGAAGTGCAGGTCTAGCCGTCTGAGCATGCAGTTGGGTCTCCGGGGCAGCAGTTTCACAATGTTAGCCGGTTTACCACACAGTACAAAGAAATGCACTATAGGTGAATTGAATAAACTAAATTGGCCGTAGTATATGTGTGTTAATGAGTGTGTATGGATGTTTCCCAGTACTGGGTTGCAGCTGGAAGGGCATAACCACTAAGGCACTGTACTGAGCCACTGTGTCACCCCGGCTTTCAACATTCTTCCAACGGAAGAAAGAAATGCATAAAAGTTTAGAACCAGTGTAGGTAAAGTGTAAGTAAATACTGAAGAAATGTGCACTTTTGGGTGAACTATTCCTTTAAGCGCAATGTGAAAAGCCAATTAGAAACAGACAAGTATGTGCTAATGAATGACCTGTGAAAAATGACGATGAGTAGTTCTTCTCTCACATTGATTTGTTAAGCGTATATGGTTTGACACTTCCGTTGGAGAAGGGGAAAAACATACAGACGGAGAGGAGATACAGGACCTGATGGAGACACTGTGGCAGTAGAGGATGATCTCCCTGCTCTTGGAGCTCCTGTAGAGATGCGGTCAGAGAGAGACTGAAGCCCTGCGGTGAAGCGCTGTCACTGTGTGGAGGATCTTCAGGACTCAGCAGACCCTCGGACACTGAAAGACAAACAGCACACACACTACTCTTTAAACCAGTGCGGATGCACATATAGTGACACCAACTACATTTCAGCATTTATCACTAACAGAGAGACAAATAGGTTTATTTTTACATATACATTTAAAGGTTTCACTTTAGTGGACTTTTTTTTGGCTTTTTTTTAGTTTTTTTTTATACTTTTTCAGTTTTTTTTTTTTTTTAGGTGAGAATGTAGCCGTTTAGATTGCAACTATGCAGTTTATTTATAAGATTTTGCCAGTAACATCACACAAAGGCCTCTTCTCTCTTCACCTTTGTGTATTACTCCGCATACATACAGCCAGCAACAAGCAGAGAGACACTACAGTTTGACAAATATTACTGCTGTTAGACAGTAAAATGTACTTCTGAGGCTTTTTAAGTCGAGAATGTAGTTATTTAGATTGCAACTATGCAGTTTATTTGTAAGAATAGTGGCTATTTTAAAATATTTACAATTTTTGAGAGCTCGTCGGCGGCCATTAGCCTGCCATAGTGTAGTAAAGCAAAGATGGTTGACATTTTCTATGTACAAGATGACGAGAGAACCGCATAATAAGCCCTTACGCTTAAAATATTTTAACAGTTTGATTTCTAACTACAGCTGGTCAAATCATTATTAAACTGGTAAGCATACCTGCCAACACTTCCGTTTTTCATGGAATATCCTGTACTTCAGACCAATCTCCAGCAACCATCCCGTTTTTTTATTTCTTCCGGAAAACTCCCGTAATTTCACCCACCCCCCTCTTTGGTACAGTCTGTAAACACCCCTGGGTCCCCAACTTTGGTACAGTACCCGATCAAGCGGCTGCCCAAAACCAGCTGCATCCTATCCCTGTTCTCAACAGTGTCAGAGACCTCACCCCCGAACACAATAAAAAAAATTTGGTCCCACTTCATATTAAGTGGCCTTAACTAATATGTACTTACACAGGAATTAATAGTTTGTTACAATGTACTTATTGTGTAAATACATGTATTTGTTGTGTACTTATGCTTGATTAAATACCTGTATGTAAATACATCTGTAATTAACTTCTGTAATTACATTAGTGTATACACTGCTGACCATTCCCTACACCTTAACCCACCCATAAACCTACCCACACCACCAAACCGGTCCCTAACCCAACCCCTATCCCAACTCAAGAGCACCACAAGTGTTCTCAAATACTTTATGAACAAAGTAAGTACATTGTATTTATTTTTTGACGTAAGTACATAGTAGTTAAGGACACTTATTATAAAGTGGGACCAAAATTTCTTAGAATAAAAATGATTTTTTTCTGTTTCCATGAAGTTACCCAACTGATATTAAATTTAACTTTTATTACTGATACTAACCCTAAAATATTTAAAACGTGTACAGTACAGCACATCTTACATATTTCTTTAAGCTTAGCTGAGTGACTGCACCCAGTATTTGTGCATCAACACCGATATCTCACTCCAGAGGCTGACCTGTATTATTCATGACACTCAAACCAGTCTGAAAAGCTGCTTGTCAACATTGAGACCCAGTCACTCACTCTGCTGCCAAAAACAGAAACACAAGTCTAGCACTATTACTCAGAGTACCTGAATCCACCAGACAAAAGAAATGCTACTCCACCCTCAGTCTGCTCAAGCTCACAACAAACACATCTACGCAAACTATTACAAGTGCCTCTATTTTGATGGAAACTAGAATTCTTCTACAATAGATTTATATGCATACAAGTACAAAAATACTGTCAAACAATTGGATTTGATTAATTTGAATATTAGCCTGTCTAAACTCCGCCTTTCTAAACTCTATCCTGCTCTGCTGTACTCTTATTGGTCAAATCACAGCTCAGTGTGTTGCGATTGGTCTACACAGATTATAGCACGTGTCAGAAAAGAAACACCCAAGAAGTGTAGAAACTAAGAGTTTCCTTCTCTCAGCAATTGTAACTGCATAGAATAAGGATTCTGTTGATTTTACTTCTTCATTTCAAAACATTGAACAATGAATTGAATGAAACATTGGATCTAATAATTCATAATCACTTTTTAACAGCATGCAAGCCTTAATGCTATCTTCGTGGAGATCTCACAATAAAATACAAACTTAAATTCAAATTAGCACAAGATCAAAACAAACTCAGTTCATACTTTCTAAAAATAGACCAGTGAAACAGTTTCTGAATTAAATAGATATTTTGTTCAATATATCTCTAATCTTATAACTATAGTTAATAGGGGTAAGACGAGATCTGCTTTCCCCGGACAGCATAAAGGAGTTTTCTTTCCATTTGGTGTGCGGTATCAAACTCCATTTAAAAAAAGGTCTATACTAGTCCTTACTTCATATTCCCATTCAGTAGTCCAGAGTTTGTCAAGTGGCATGAATGAAATCTTGCTGAAAGTGAAACTGCTGAACTATTTAAAATGAAATATCCATATTTATTTACATTTGAATTTACATTTAATTTTACATGTGAAGTCAGTCAGTAGAGTTTATAGCTAATTTTTTTTGGGGGGGGGGGGGGGGGTGGGGGGGTGCAGATTAGAATTAATCAAAATAGAAGTAAAATAACAAAAATAAAATTCATTACGAGTTTTTCAAAAAAGCACCTACATTGGTTTGTATTTTGTGATTTTTTTTCTATTTAAAGGGCACATAGTTTACCCCTTTTTATGATTTAATATTAATATTATGGCTAATATTAATATAATAATAATAATAATAATAATAATAATAATAATAATAATTATTATTATTATTATTATTATTATTATTAATTTTATGGAGTGTGCCAGTTTAGGTTCAGTTCAAAACACAATTCAGGTTTTTTTATTATAATGTGTTATAACTTATTTTGGGTGTGTGTACATAGCTCGCTGTTTCAGGGGTGTGTTGCTTCACATGAAAATTAGTTTCAAATTCCCGCCCAACATAACAAGGAGGCGGAGCCAAGAGCTCCCCCCTCTGTGTTTGGCAACAGACAGAGAGAAGCAGCATGACAGCCGTCGACTTGAAGCGCCGTTGTGTGTACCCTGATAGAAACCTATGTTTAGAATTCTAAAATGCATGGCGCTGAGCGTCGCTTTTGGTGTGCGACCTGCAGGCAAGTTTGTTATTTTATTTCCAATGGAGCGACACTCACGTGAGGCAACCTGCTTGCACTTTCCAGCTGCACCTAGTTAAGATCACACTCACAGGGAGCTTCTGTGACCGCGAGACATGCAAACGGCTGAAGTTTAAGGTGAACGCAATGAAAAGTACACTAGTTTGCAGACCTACCTACAAACAAACTAAGTTACAAACAATAATTCCGATTACAGCGATCATGTGGTGAATGTTGATCTTGTGTTGATCCCAATGAGCCTTACATCTAAAAATGGAGCAGGGGTGTTCCTTTAGTGACACCGCTTTGACTCGCATGCTGAAAATGAGGGATGTGAAACAACAAACTGAGGATATGTTGATGCGCGCAGCTGTCAGTCAATATTAGTGGGCGGGGGGACCACACTCCTACGTCAAGTTACGGTCGATCTAAAAACTGCTCCAATTGGTCCGTTTCTATGTTGTTGAATTAAAAAAAAAAGGACTGGGTGTGTTTATATCACCCCAATATGACGATCTATACACTATATCTACACAGATGTCTGTCCAAACAGCTTGAAAAGTAGATTTTTACCATAGGAGCCCTTTAATAAAAATCTATTTTTCTTTTTTATATTAGCAAATATTTTGGAGTGTTTGCCGGACTTTAACTGCATAAAATTAATCAAAATAAAAGTAAAATAACATTCACTATAATTAAATTTTTAAAAGCATCTAAACTGTTTTTGCATTTTGTGATTTTTTTTCAGAGGATTTCTGAAAAATACAGTAAAAATTCCATCTCGTTCTCATGAACCCAACCTCGAGTCTCATCTCGTTTCGTAGTGTCTTGTCACATACCTCACATCACACAAGGTACGCATACAAAACTGTCTGTTTAGTATTGTGAAAAGGCAAAGCCGAATATCTGTGGTTAAAGTGCCACCCAGCGGTCAAAAGCTGCTGGTGCACCAATTGCCGCCGTCGCCGCGGTATGAATGGCGGCAAAAGGAACACATTGAAGTAGTAACATCTGTATTAGGAAAGATTTAACACTGTAAAAAGCAATTAGTTAAGAGGTGTGTAAACCCATTGCTTTTAAAGCGATTAGTTGAATTTATTTAAAGTTGCTTTTAAAGCAATTAGCTGACTTTACTTTAAAAAGTGATATATATGATATATGGTATGTAAAATAATAGATATATGGACATCACAGTGGCACAATTGCCTCACAGCAAGAAGGTAGCTGGTTTGAGCCTCGGCTGGGTCAGTTGGCATTTCTGTGTGGAGTTTGCATGTTCTCCCCGTGTTCACGTGGGTTTCCTCCAGGTGCTCTGGTTTCCCCCACAAGTCCAAAGACATGCGGTACAGGTGAATTGGGTAGCTAAATTGTCCATGTGTGTGAATGAGAGTGTATGGATATTTCCCAGTGATGGGTTGCAGCTTTAAGAACATCCACTGTGTAAAACATGTGCTGGATAAGTTGCCGGTTCATTTCGCTGTGGCGAACCTAGATTAAAAAAGGGACTACTCTGAAAAGAAAATGAATGAATGAATAAATAAGTAAATATAAAAATGTAAAAACTTACCTAATAACTTAAAAAAAACAAAGTTACAATAGGCTTACTCATTTTTTTAAAGTACTAATTGATTGTATTGGTGTGCTAAAGGATTACTCATTTAGTTTACTACTGATTCTCTTATAATACTTCAGTGTCAGGATCTCTAGCAAATGACAAGCTCTTCAAAAATTCTCAATATAGCAGATGAGACAAAAAAAAAAAAAAAACGAGCAGATTAAGTCTTAGGCGAGTTAACGAGTTGTTTTTGCAAGAGAACTGTGACAGTACATTCACACACACATGCACTGACACACAGCTCAACTATTTGACTCTTCTTAATTACAAACAGTCCAAATAGTTTCTTAATTGTGCAGTCCAACAGTGGCACTGTGAGATGTTTTGAGATTGATTAACTGATTCTGTTAGCAGCTTTCTCCAATCTGTTTGAATTAAAAGTTTTAGTTCAATTTACTTGATAGCAAAATCTACTAATATTGTTACTTAATAAAAAGATTAACGACAGCATAATACTTCATACTTATATATCGTTCACTAAACATTTAAATGAGCTTCCATTTTTATATTTGATATTTTATTTTTAAATTATATTTTTGAAATTCCCTTTTGTGTTTGTCTGATTTTTTTATATTTTAGTTTTAGTTTATTTAAATTCCAGCTTAAATTAGATGAATTTTAGTTTCTTAAAATACATTTACATATTCTTAAATGAATTTATTTTAGATTCCTTGCCAAGTCAACACTTTAAAATATCCTTTTTTTGCTAAATTATTAGAGCATTTTTTTTTGTTTTTCTTCGAGAATTTCATAAACACAAGAAAACAAGTCATATACAGTTTTTACTATTTACAATAAGCTATTGTTTTTACATTTGTATTTTTTTTTTATTTGCATATTTATTTTTTTAGTTTTAGCATTTTAAATTTGAAGCTTAAGTAATTGTATAAAATTAAATACTAATAAAAAAAACCATTAAATATATAATTAAATAACAATAAAAAATAAAAATAAAAATGCAGATTATAAAACACATTTTTAGATAATAGGCTAATTTTAATTTAATTTTTAGCCATTTTACATGCTTTTATTTCTGTTATAAAGTTTTTGTTTTTAAATTTAGCTTGGGTATATCTTTCTATTTTAGTCATTTTAAAACCACCAAAAAGCTTAGGAGCAGGGGGAGATGGTAGTGGAATTCCAGGAGTTTTCCGGGAGACAGAAAAATACGTGAGATGGGTCTGAAATACAAGAGACTCCCGGGAAAAACGGGAGTGTTGACAGGTATGGGTCAGTAGAATGTTTAAATGTTTTAAAATAAGCTTCTCCTGCTCACCAAGGCTGCATTTATTATATCATAAATACAGTACATATTGTAAAATTGTGCAATGTCTTTGCGCTATAAAATAACTGTTCAAATGTAGTTTAGTATTTATTCCAGTGATTTTAAAGATGAATTTTCAGCTTCATTACTCCAGTCTTCAGAGTCACATGATCCTTCAGAAAACACTCTAATATTAATATATATTACTGTTGTTCTTATTAATAATGGTAATAGTAACAAAAGCAATAATGACTGGAGTAATAATTTTATTTGAAGCTGCATACAATAAAAAAAGTAGTAATTTAAAATTGTAAGCAAATATTTAACAATTAATTTTTTTTTACATGTAATAAATTTCACCTTGATGAACTGAATAATTTTCCTTAAAGAAAATATGAAAAAAATTAATAAAACAACAAGTCAAATGATTGGGCTCAGACCACGCACACACACACTCAAATTTAGTTATACTACAATTGTATTTTTTTTTTATAAAAAAGGTAGATATTACAATTATGTTTGGCTTTTAACACATTATTTAAAATACTATATGTGGCTTAAAAATTGCTATTAACTTTTTTGGTGGGGCCAGTGTAAATTTTGGCAGGGCAAGTTAAAATCTGAACCACTGGCCTTATCAGGCCAGTAGAAAAAAAATCACTAGCGTTGAACCCTGGAGTAGCCCCTCCCCTTTTAAAAAAGCAGCCAATAGAGTTTCGTTTTATCACAGCTCTGCCAGTGAGAGTGGTTGAGCTCAAGCACAGCAAGTGAAATGCTAATGAGAAATGTCTTAAAGGGGTGCGGCATGTCAGACACTAGAGAGCATTTGATTGGTCAAGATTAGATGAGAAACAGAAGTATGAGGTGACGTGAAAAAAAGTGTTGATCCATTTGGGCAAAAGTGACAATCTACAAGATTTACATGCTTACATTTGTTTAATATCTAACGCAAATTTTGTCACTGCTTTGGAGCACACTAGATAAAAGATATCCTTGAAGACTAACATACTGATACTACATCTATCAAGGTTTCTTTCCACACTGTTGTCTCTGTAAGTTACCTGTGGGGCTGGGACTGGGTGTTGGAGAGTCTCGGATGTGTCCATCCAGCTCTGGAGAGAACGCACCACTGTTACTGTCCACCTCCTCTTCATCTTCCTCCTCTTCATCCTCCACCTTGGAACTGTCGTACTCCTCATCGTCTCCATTGTTGTTAGTGAGCTCCGGCCGGAGGGGCCCGTGTCCACCTCTGGGCCCCTGCTCCACCTCATCGGCCTCTTCCAGCAGCCGGTTGTGGTTGTCATCAGGGCTGCGGAAGGACTCAGAGCAGCTCTGTAGCTCCGGCTCAGTCGCTCCTCCTCTCCTTACAGGGCCGTCGCTCTGCCACTGACCGTCATCCATCAAGATCCGCTCAGGCACTGGACGCCGCTCCGCTCTGCCTCTGGGAGACACAGAATAATCAGGAACAGTAAAGAAATAGCCGGCCTTTAACTGAACTGACTCATAGTTCAGCAGTAATTGTGCTTCAGGCTTTCTGAGAGCAGTGCATGAATCACACCACTTGAAATTTGTATTGGGTTTGTTCTGCATTTGCTTACAGCTTTAATACTAGTAAGAGGGCTAATAAACGAAAAAAGAATGTTTTGTGCAAATGCTTTTGGTCAGGTAATCAGATATTTAGCATTATTAATTTCTTTAGTATTATTTCATATGTTATTATCAGAGAATTCATTTTTTAACAAGTAAAATAGCTAAAATGGCAGTGCGATATGGCTGTACATCAGCACTGGTAGGAGGCGTGCATTGCCTTAAGGGGGTCACACACAAGAAGTGTCGCTCGGTGACACGCAGCTTCATGCATTTCAGAATTCTAAACATAGGTTTCTATCAGGGTACACACACCGGCGCCGCAAGTCGGCGGCTGTCGGCAGCTCCCAGCCACGACTCGGGACACTGTTCATATTTCTGCCGCGCCACAAAGCGCCATCTAATTAGTTTCATTTTAAATAGCATGCAGATTTAAGCGTCTGGTGTGCGATACCTTCAACTGTCATGTGCGCACAGTGTCGTGGTGCTGAGCGGCGTATCTGGTGTGTGACGCCCTTTAGTGTCCCACCAGTGCTGATATACAGCCATATCGCACTGATATTTGGCTTATATAACAGTTTGACTGCATAATTGTGTGTATAAAAAAGAAAATCAAACAGAGAGAGTCTAAAAAACCTTATGTAAGAGGAACTACTTTTTTCCGCCATCTGCTGTTCTGACTTCAGCTGCAGATGTGAAGGAATGGCAAAAGAAAGTAGTTCCTCATACAAAAGGATATTTAGACTGTCTGTGTTTGACTTTTTTTTTTCTATACAAAATTGTGCCGTCAAACTGTTATATAAACGCAATATCACACACTCGTAGCAGTGCAATATGGCTCTATATCGTCACTTGTAGGACATTAAGGGAATGCATGCCTCCCACGAGGCTGCCTTTATACAGCCATGTCGCTACTAGCATATTGCTCATATACATATACAGTTGAAGTCAGAATTATTAGCCCCCCTGAATTATTAACGCCCCTGTTTATTTTTTTCAACAATTTCTTTTTAATGGAGGGAAGATCGTTTCAGCACATAAGCATAAACAGGCTGCGTAAAAAACAGGCTGGAAAAATTGGTGGTTCATTCCGCTGTGGCGACCCCGGATTATTCAGGGACTAAGCCGAAAAGAAAATGAACGAATAATTCATAACAAATGTTTCAACTACCTGACCCGAATGGTTTTAGTTTTACCAATAACCAAATCATAAATAAAAATACCGTTACACATAAATTACTACCTGTCAATCACTTTGGCATGAAGAGATAGAGTGATCTGTGTCATTATAATGGCTTCAACAAACTTGGATGGTAAAAAAGGTGCACAATCAACAGGAACCAACCAACAGTGTCTGAGGTTTTCACTTAAATTACTAAGAAAAGCGTAAAAGGAAAAAATTGAAGCAGTGTACTGACACTGACACATTACCTGATGGATTCAAAAGACCGAAGAGTCATTAGATACTGGAGACAAGATTAATTAAATATCACATTTAACAACTATAATGAGACGTAATCTAGCGGTACATCCTTGATAAACTGTGTATTTTTCGTGAGCGGGTTGCTGCTGCGACAAGGGCGAGGTGAAGGATCGCGATAAAGGTTCAGCATCGTGATGTCTATCGGCCTTCAGCGATGGAATCGTATATTGACCCCACCCTATTCTGAAAAATTTCCCCCCTTTATTTATTTAAAAAATAAATTTTTACATAGATGTATACATGATAATTTTTTTCTAAATGAAAATGAGATGTTTTTGTTTGTATGTTTGTTTATTTATTGCCACATTTACAACTTCTGAATAAAACGAGATGTTTTAGTTTCAATTTAATTTAATCCTTTTAACATTTAACGCTCATTTCATTTAACAAAAGTGATTTAAGCTTCATGGTTTCCATTTTAGCTTTAAGCTACGGTAACTTTAAAAGCCCTGCTATGTAAATAAGTGTGTTATTATCATTATTTATTTACATATAAACTATAAAACACACCATTCTGTTGCAATGTGCAAGACAAACGCAGTACACAAATGCATCCTTATTAACCAGGGAACTGCATACATAAAAAACCTGTCTGTGTATATTGAGGACCTGATCCTGATGTTATTCAGAAGAGCAGACTGACTCACATTAGACCCCGGGTGTTTATACGCTTTTAAAAACACAGTGACTCAGTGAAGAGCGGACCATCAGATCTGTGCCTGCGGTGTGACCACCTACACACATCCAAAACACATCACGACAAGAGCCAGGTGAACCGCACACGACTGCTCAACACTTGTTTCTAGCAATTCGTCTTCAAAATATTTTCTGACCTCTGACCCACTTAAGATATAAACGCATAAAATTAAATTAGCGATGCAGCGATATATATATATTTTTTGTGTTTAATTCTGATTGCAGATGTGTTAATAAATTCTGTCAATTTTAATATGTACATAACCTTTATTAGGGGTTGAATGTTCACAAAATTGTCAGTTTGGTTCATTTTACGGTTTTCAATTTTTTGAATTACATTGTAAAATAATAATAAAATTAATAATAATAATAATAATAATAATAATAATAATAATAATAATAATAATCTATTGCACGGGTACCCAAACTGTTTTGTATGAAGGGCCAAAAACCAAATATCATTGATAGGTGTGAGCCGAAGATAAATATACCAAACTATTTTATTTCCCAATATTTTAAAATAAATAGAAAACATTGCTTTGAATCGTATTAACTAACGCAGTTTAACCAATTCATGAAAACTTACTGCAATAAAAACAAAAACAATTACATTTCTCAGTAGAGTTCAATGCTGAATACCCTACTCAAGCAGAATATTGCCTTGATTTGCTCACTACAGTCTCTGCATTGTCCTCTTTCCGTCAGCTGACAGTATTTACATTTTAAACTAAATGACAGCATTTTAATTAAAACATTTTCAGTAAACTTTTTGTAGCTTACCAATAAAACAAACAAATAAAAGAGAACATTATTTGAAAGACAATCTCTACCTTGCCAACATTCACCCTCTCTTCTCAGATGGGATGGCGGGCCAAATCAAAGGTTACCATGGGCCAACTTTGGCCTGCGAGCCACAGTTTGGGGATCTCTGCCCTATTGTAACACTTAAATACCATTTAGAAATACTATATATCAGCATAAAACACATGGCCTTATAATCTACAGTATTTTTTATCGTTTACAGTAATTAAAACGTTTTTAAGGACATGTGTTACAATTTAAGTCTTAAAAGTTCGGTATGTAGTTAGTTTGACACCCAATAACTGAACTAGTTATTGCACCCCTGATCCAAAACACACGCAAGCGCAGGTTGCCAGATTGACGACATTAACAGCAAGCCTGACTACTGCGCCTAAAGGCTGATTTAAATTATATTCTAAATAAAAGCACTGGCACACGATAGAAGGAATATTTTCCATATTAAAGGGGTTTTTGTTCTAACCAACACCTAAAATTTATATTTTAGAAAAAGCTTCTATTTCTTGAAGCTGAACAACATAATAAACCATGATAACCTCAGGTACAACTCATGTGCTTTATTCAGTGTTAAATGCTAATAATGTGGATTTAAATACCATTTTACATCACATGTATTGCCATATACTGAAAAAAGCAGCATAGTTCACCTCAGATGTTGAAACTAAAATAAACCGTTTGAACTTCAGTACTGTGATTTAGTGCAAAGCAACACATATTAGTCATTCAGCATGTACATTTAATAATGCTAAATAAGTTTAATATGTATTAATTAGATTATAAACCTTACCATTTGGTTGAAATGCAGTGAGTGCACTATTGTGTGCTTCTGAAGGGCTGTATTTAAATTTCTGCCGTGTTTCGTCAGGTGCAAACAGCCAAATTTCCTAACACTTTTTTAAAATCAAGAAAAAAATTAATTTCTGCAAATCTCATAAGGTAGCATGTAGTCAGGACATGGGGTTACAATGTAAATTGCTCACCCAATGTTTACGTAATGTTTGTAATATTTATATTATTTGCTATTTAATAACCTTACGTGGAACTGTGAATCTGCGTCTCATTTCGGAGTCTGCTATTGTCCACCGGCGGTCACATTTCAGTTCAGGACGCATACTTTGAGTACCTTTCTGACTGAATGAAATACGCTGTTTTCCACAAAGCCAACCAGGGGTGCAGAAATATAATTAGCTAATAAGTGGCAGTGGGTGGGTTAAATGACCAAAACAAAGACAGCGTTCCAGCACGGAAAGCACATTTTTTAAAGCAGAATATTTGACTTCAGCATTGTTTTTCAGATAAACACGAATGTTCATTTAACATGTTTCTTAAATATCTGCAAACATATTATGGTAATTTTGTGCTTTAGAAGAATAAAATGTACACACAGCTCCTTTAGGGCTGGGACACACCAAGCCAAAGCCACACAGCTAGCGCTGAGAAAACCCAACTGTGTTGTTGCCTTAAGTAGACTCACATCTGGTTCCATCTGGACCGAAAAAAATTTGGTCAACAGCTCTCAAATATTAGCAGGAAAAGGGCGTTTTTCAAATTTCAGTAATGATTGGTACAGAACTTAATCCTTTTGTCAACCCTAGTCTGTAATAATCTGCAAGAAAAAAAACAGTTAAAGTACTATAGACTCTCAAAAGATATAGCAAATCAAGCAGAATTGAGCCTTCCCTGCTCACTAAGATCTTTCTATATGATTTAGCAGCTTACACATATTTTCCCATAGTTTAGACTGCATAAGCAGAGCAATGCATTGAATAAAAATGTGCAGAATTATTTTATTGTAATGTAGAAAATATAACAGAACTGCTGTAGTATGAAATGTTGAACAAGGAACAAAGTTACTG